GCCACCCGGCTGAACAAGTGGTTTCAATGTCCCTCCCTGCCCGCGCCATAGATTGGCCAAGTAGGGCAGGCTACCTGGTGGCCCGGGTGCTCTCACAAGTGGCTCATTTCCTAATCTTAGCAATTCTGGGATGACTTTGAATACAAGGACAGGCATAAACAAGCATATTTCAAAAGAAAAATGAAACTGCACCTTGAGTAGAAAACGCACCTATACACCTGCAGTACAGAACAGTGGGAAAGCCCTGAAGCTGAAGTAAAATGTGTTACAGAATTTTTTTAAAAACTAAGCTTGGGGAAAGTGGCGTTTCTCAAATGAGTCTCTGTGGTGCCCGTGGGGCTCCAAGGCCATCTAGCAATTTATCATCATCTGATCCATGCCCTGCTGGCACTTGGACTACCCTGCTGGAGCCCATGACCCCCGCCCCACAGATGTGAGGGCCACAGCGGGAACAAATGGTGTCAACCTGAATTTCCCCCCATTGCTGTCTTCACTGGTCTTACAGTCACCCGGCTGTGGTGAGAAGCCCTTTTCCATCACAGAACTTGCTCGGTGCTCCATCCCCAGCGCCCTCGCTGTGCCTCCCCGAGACAGGCATTTGCTATAGACAGAAGGAATCATTTACCCGTGTTTCCCTGCGCGCCTTGGTGTGGAAGGCACGTTTCTCTCGGATTCTCCCTTCCTGGCCCTACAGCATGTACAGGACAGAGGCTCTAGTTCCTGCCCAAATTCGGCCTCGCTGCCATCACTGCTTAGGGATATTAGGGATTGTCTCCAGAAAGCTGCAGCCTTTGTCCACACCACAGTGCTTGGGGTTGCTGTCCTGGTGAGACTAGTAAACTGCAGCTCAAGCCCTCAGTCACCATCTCCCTGTCATGCCTTTCAACTTGTCACCCAGGCCCCCTGCCGTGGCCCCCTTGGGTGATGTGGTGGCAGCTGCTCCTCCGAACGCTGTCCACAGATGACAGAAATGCCCCCCTCTGCAAGCCCACAACTGCTAACCCATTTTCTTTTGTTCTCATTTGGACCCCTAACAGCCTTCTCTCCACAAACCCTGACTTTGTTCCTAATTTATTTCCAAAGTTTGACTTCAGGTTCAGAGTTTAAAAAATGAGTTGCTCTGGGTGACCTGAGTTATGCTCCAGGCAACCATGCAGGCTTTGTTCCTGGGCAGGCCTTGAAGACAGGAAAAGGCAGCCTGGGGAGCTGACGGCATCACCTCACCCCTGCTCACGGAGCAGCTCCGCACTTGGCCTCGGGCCACGCTGCCGTGTCTCCTCTGCACCGCAGCCGCTGAACAGCCCTTCCAAAAGCAACAGCCCCCCACTCCCCACCCAGCTCGTTTGCACACTGCCTCTCTCTGGCCGGGTCAAAAACAGCTCTGCTCCTTGTGGCCCTGGCCATAAAGCATCATTTTGTAACAAGAGGGCAGCCCCGTCCCTGCCTCCATGGGGGCATTTTTGAAGCCTGCCCTGTGTGGTGGGACTCCAAGGGAGCCCAGCAGCTTCCTCTCTGGTTTGGGGAGCAAGCTTCTGCTGGGGCAGCTTTCCCAGCCAGGGCCTGGCTCCTGCTGCTGCCGCTCTGGCCACTCACCTGTTCAAGGTGGTGCTTCTCTACAAGCACCTACAGCCCCCTGCCTCTGCCTCTCCCCAGCACAAGTAACAGGCCCTGGCTGAGGGGCCTGCCCCTCCCGACTCAGGGCCTTCCTGGAGCTTGGCTGCAGCCAGCTGCAAAGCAGGGCAGGAGTTCACTGCAAGGTCACGGGGTGGCAACTCATTCTTTCCTCCCTGCTGCCTGGCAGGGCCTCTGACCAAGGCCTCAGCTGGCAGAGCTCAACCTCTGTGTCCTCTCAGCTGCAGGGCCTGCCTTTGCTGCCCTGGGCCACAAGAATGGTGCAGAACCGGAGCCAGAGACGTAGGGTGGACACAGGAAGCTGGACCAGGACTCCCGCGGCCAGGAAGCCTGTGCGCATGGCAGGGCAGCGTGGGGTGCTGGTGTTTGCGGTACCTGCCTCCCCAGAGCACACGCCAGCGCACATGCACCTTCCACAGCTTGTGGCAACCGACTGTGTAATCTAGCTTTCTCGAGTCCCACAAGTCATGAGCACTTCCTCTGCACATGGGCAGGTGTCTGTGTTTTATCTGAACCATGTTTCCATGGTAAATAGATCTTGAGAATTCCCAAAGGACAGACAGTGTCACCAACAGCAGAGAGTGGAGCCTCTGGTGCCTCGTGTTTGAAAGCGTTAAGAATAAAGACAACATTGACATTTGGGGTTGTAATGTGACGGAATTACAGTCTTTTAAAGGCAAGAACCACTTATCTACACTACATGTAATATTCAGTGTTTTGTTCACTTGTCTAATTGGATTAAAATATTTAACTCCCTTTAAAATCTTGATTGTGAATTTATATTGCAAAATGTAATGTCTGACTCAGGAAGCAATCAGTGGAGTGAATGTATCTGAAGCAATATAAAATTCAATTTATTTTTCTTCTTTGATTTTTATTCTGAAAGTACTCGCTCTTGGACAAAGTGAACTGTTAACTGAAGACCAAGTCTGGCTTAAATGAAGTCCTTGGTGCTTTTCCATATTAATTATGTACAGGGTGCTCAGTTTAAAAAAAAAAAAAAGTTATACTGCATGCTCTTTGAGTTGCTTGGGAAGTTTCTCTGAGGGTCATAAGAAGCTTATGCTGGAAATGCAGCGCCCAGGGTCTTATGTCACTCTAAGCACACTCAGGCAGCAGGGAGTTAATGACATTTTAGCTGCATATGTTCAAGTTTATTTAAAAAAATATGCAAGTCACTTTGGTTGACAGTGTCTTGTACACAGTTTTGAAAGAATCAGGGCAAACTTTAACAGAGTCAGTTTTTATTTGAAAAATATTTTCTGGGAATGTATCAGTGTTTATTTTTGAGACTGACAATTCGGGTGAAAATCAGGATAAAAACAAAAAAACAACAATTTGGTTGAAATCAAATTGTTTGTTTTCATCTATTTAGAATTCTTTCCAAAAAAAAAAAAAAAAAACAA